TAGTTTTCTTTTTCCCAAAAAAAGTAAATCTGATCTCGCCGATAGCAATGGAAAATTTAAATTATGAATGAAGGGCCTTCGAAATTACATTTTGACTTTCTTTTTTTTCAAATGATGAAGTCTTTCCTATCTTCAAGAACTTGTAACTGAAAGGTAATCATGAAAGAACAGATTGCGGAACAGTATCACAAGTTATGCATATTACTACAAAGACCGTGATGGCAAAAAAGGTAAAGAAAATTATAATGATAATAATGACAATAATAGGATGACAAAATCAATAATATATGTATGTGTTTAGTATTTATGGGTTTTTTTTATTTTAGGAAATAATAAATAATAAACAACAATATAGAAAATAATAAATAATAATAACAAATCGTATCACGAATGATACATTTCATCCGATATTATTGAAATACAATATTTTCAATGAACGTGATTGGCTGGTGATTTATTATTTTTCTTGTTTCTAAATGGCATTTTATATATTAAAAAAGTCATCTATATGTAGGAATGATTATACCGGGAGGACTATATGGGATCGACTGTAGTGGTGTAATGGGTTTTTATATATAATAAAAACTTCTATAATGAATAGTAAGCAGTCAACTTCAATATTATTGGAAAAATATAATAATTCATGTAAATAATTACATTGAAATAGTGACACTATTGACATTGTGCAAGTAAATATTAGGATTATTCAATTGAGATTTGTTAGATTGACTACAAATTGTACAAACTGTTTGGATCGAAAAACAGATAATTAATAAATATGAAATTTTAAAAATTACCGGTATAATATAGGAAAATAAATCAGTAAATACTTATAAAGACAATTTTTGCTTTCAATTGTTTTCCATACGAACCATATATTGTCTGAAAATTCTCAATTTACCCTACCTTATCATCGTTCTGAATCACATCTTCGTCAAATGGATCTGTTAAAAGAGTCTCCTACGACATATATGCAAGGATATTCTAAAACATTTTTAGATGATTTTATTAAATTACTTTCTAGAAGGTAATAAAAAGATCTATCTACCTAGCTATTCATATATGTTTATATATTAATTAATTAAAAAAAATTCAAATTAATACTTATTAGATGGGGCACTAAAAGAGTTTATGCAAACCTTGTTTATCAAGAATATATTTCAGATAGACATCATGTGCACATGAATGGTACCATGTGGGAAACTTTAACAGATTTTGTTATATACCTTGGAAAAGAGGGGATTTGTACAGTTGATGAAACACCCAAAGGTTGGTTTATTAGTTGGGTAGATAATAGTCCAAAGGCTTTAGCAAGACAGGTAATGATGATGATAATGATTATAACATATAAAATAAATAATATTAGTTTTGATAATAGTTTTAAAAAAAATTTGCTATGTATTAATAATCAAAAAAAAAATTTTTTTGTATTATTAAATAGGAGGCAATTTTGAAAAAAGAACGAGCAGAAAAAAGTGAAGAAGAAAGGACACGAAAATTAATTGAAGAACAAATCGAACGAGCACATAAAAAGGTTAAAGTAGATGTAGACGAAGAGGTAATTTATATATATATATATTTATTTATTCATTTATTCATTTATTTATTAAAAAAAAGTATTTTTCAAAAATTTTTTTTTTTTAGAAAAACTTCACTGAGCTTAAACGTGAAAATGAACAAGAAAAAATTAAATTAAATATTTCACTTAAACCAAAACCTGATATTTCGAAATTAAAATCAAATCAACTTCTAAAAATTAAGAAGATGTAGATGTTTAACCATAAAAGGTATAATAAACAAGATGTTTATACCATTTTATTATTATTATTATTATTATTATTATTTGAACAATTGAAGTAGGTGAAAGTGCAGCATTATCAATTCTTTTGTCAATTGACATTCTTGCAAAAAAAATATTTTTTAAGGAATATACATATTCTAAAAAAAATTAAAAATAAACGTAGTTAATTTTTATTGGTCAGAACCACTGAACCGGGGTTTGAACTGGGTTTAACCGCGGTTGATTAAACCGCGGTTTGAAATGTGTAAACCAAACCGCATCGGTTCAGCATGATAGAAATTCGTTTTATATCACAATTCGACGATCATTCGTGATAAACGTGATAAATTTTATTTATGTTGTACGACATAAGTTTCACAATTAATTACAATACCAATGCACACGATAAAACTTTATATAGTAACTTGTACGTTTTTACATTTTTAAAAAAAAACAAATAATCGTTTTATATATTTTAACCTATTTTCTCTCCTTTTCCACTCCCTGATCAATTTGGAACAATTTGATGCATGAACTAGATGAAGAGTGAAAAAAAGGTGAAAAAAGACATTTTAACGAATCATAGTTCAAGGCATTTTTACCTATAAACAAAATATTTATTGAATACAGTTCATTCTTTCTATAACAGCCTTTTCTATAATGGTTTTCATGCTATAACATATGTCTCATATACTAATACTGTCTCTATGATGAATGAACTGTAGTTGAATAATTATCATTAAAATAAAAATACATATTCAAAAAATAAATATTTACATGAATTATAGGAATTTTATACATCAACGTGTAAGTATATTATTAATTAATAGGTTGAAAATTTACCAATCATTTACTAAATTAAGCTCTCTATCCAAATCTATGTTTAAACTATTTACAGGAGTGTTGGTATCATCATTGTCATCTACTTCCTCTTCTTCAACTTCATCATAATCATCATTGGTTAGAATGTCAGGTCCTTTTTCAAGTCTCTTATTGAATGATTTTACATTACTATCTATACCCTTCTTATAATATTCTTCACAATATATACATCGTTTTTCTAATTCATTATAGCAATTCACATGGTATCCATGACCACATATTAGCACAACTTCATCATTATTTGTGGAAGTTGATAATAAACCTTTGCAGTGATCGCATAAGTTAATACTTGGGGGATATGATGTGTTGTAACCTGCTGGGAGAAGTTTTGTATCCACAATTTTATCTAGAGTTGCTAATTTGTAGGTTTTTTTCTCTTCATTTTCTAATTTACTTTTTCCAAGATTTAAATAAATTGAATGGAAATAATTTAACAAGAACAAGCTAGTTCTTATTGTTAACTCCTCCAGCACTGGTTCTGTATATGGATATGTACGTTCATTTTTGAATGCTTTTATTGTTGTTTGATCATGAAGGTCAAGTAAGTATGCTTGGTTGATTATGGCTTCTGGAGTATGTAATGAGGTTGTATTGTTTCTTATTTTACTATGTATGTTTTCAACATAATAATCATTAAAATTAGCTAAATATAACTTTATTGTTTCATTAAAAGGATGATTTTTATCTTTCCAATAATAATAATCAGATAAAAATGCCAAAGGAGCTTTGTTATAGTTTTTTCTTCTCCACCTCAATGCAAAGGTCCAGATACGAAATACAGTTTCCAAGTATTCTTCAAAAGAACCTGACCTAAATAATATTGCATATATGTCTAAAGTTGAAGGTATGATATTATCTAGAAGGTCTATCATCATTCTATATTCAATATCTTTGCAATTTTTGGGAAATTTATTTAATATCATGTGAGAGATTTTTTTCCAACCTCTACTTGCAAGATCTAGCAAAAGATTAATTCTCCAAGGCTTTGGTTTTTTTGCCAACACTTTTCTTGATCCAAAAACATAATGAAATAACTTATTGAAGAACTCCCAATGCAATATTATTATATGCTCTCTTGAATTTAATGATATGTGTAAAGGTCCGATTAATGGTACAAAATTTTTAAAAACTTTGTATTCAGTATTAAGATTTTGTTGTTGTTCCTGTTGACTAATTTTTGTTATTATTTTTCTTAAAAATAGCTGTCCAGGCCAATCAGCAACAATAGGGATTATATTATTTTGCAAATATATTGAAATACTTTCAATTTTAGTTAATGTTTGAAGAACTTCAAGATAATCATTCAAAGAGTGTAGATTTTTTTGTTGTAGATTGATAATACGAACTCCTTTCATTGATCTATCATGATATTTTTCTAAGATTAAAGCATCATAAAAATGCACAGTAAGGAGTTCAATTCTATTTGTTTCATTGATTGAAGCATTTTGACTAATCCATTTTTTTTTACGCATATTATAACTAACTTCAAATATTCCTTTAAATTCATCCATTAAATGTAATTTAATTCTATCTGCCTCAATATTTTTAGGATTATGGATATGAATTTGATTATATATCACAGGAACTTTTTTACATTGTTCTATTTTTTTAGAAACAGAGGTCGCCATATGATTTGCTGTGGAAAGAGTGGTTGTATTTGGTCTTCTCCATCCATGGATAGAGTGATAATCATCAATGTTAAAACAAAATAAAGAATTCATCTAAATAATATGTATGTATTATTAATAATTATATGATATTGTAAAATATTATAAATTCTCAAGAATTACTTACATTTTCATTAAAATATTCATTAATTTTCTTTGGGTGAGTTCTTGCAAGATTTTTCTTATAATTATCAATTGTTTTATAGGATGTTGTGATACCAATCCTTGATAGCATATCAACTGCAGAACTGCTTGTTCCTGATCCAACAAGATATAGTCCAAGATCAAGTTTTAATGAGTTAGTACGTTTACTACGTAAACCTGCCAAGAAATAGCAAAAGGTAACAACTGATTTTTTGGCATTTTCTATATTTTTTTCTTTTCTTCTTTTTGGAATAATTGCATCGACCATTTCTTCAAAAAATCCTTTTAGTCTTTCATCTTGTTTTTCTATTATTTCAGAAAATTTATCTGGGTCTAATTCAATCTTGTTTTTAAATTTTCTTTGTTGATCAGAAAGGACATCACTTAAAAATTGAATCTTTGATGCAAAGGTAAGAAGATTATTATCTATTTAATAAATAAATGAATTAATTTAATATTTATAAATTAATAAAATTAATTTTAATATAATAAGAAATAAATTACCATCATCAATTTCATTATTTATTGCATCAAAGCCAGGTTCTTCATTATCTTCCACACAATATAAATTATTGTCAGGTTGAAGTTCTATTTTATCTATATGTTCAACTATTGATAAAAAATCTTCTTTTGACATGGTAACATTACTTCCAGTTAAATTAATTTTAATTTTAGACCAGTCTAACTGATTATCAACCATATTAATTGACAGGTTGTCTGAAGAAGTATCATCAGATTGGTTAGATGAAGATTCGTTATATGAATCATTAGATTTTGTTCGAAGATTTTTTGAGTAATCAACATCTAATGATTCACTGGATTTTCTTTTCATTTGATCATTTTTATGTTTATCATGTCTGTCTGGCTCAACAATTTTCATATAATGACTATAACAAAGCTGGTCATCTTCTTCCAAAAAATAATATTTATTTTCTAAATCTTTCTTTCTAATTTTATCCATTGTTCCAATTTGTAATTTTCTATGAGCAGGTTTATCACAACCAGAAATAATGCATGGGCCTTGGTTTTTTGGTTTTGGCATGACTGATTTTGAAATAAGAAAATAGGGTGGGTTAGTTTTGATATTTGATATTTTTTACAAGTAAAATTTATATTTTTTATTTTATTTTGAATTTAAAAACTTTTTTATTTATTTATATATTCTTTATTTATTTAAAAAAAAAAAAAAAATTAAATAATCCTTTTCTTTGTATATACAATGATAAAGAACTTTTTGTATTCAATTAAATCAATAAAGACTATTAAAAATTTCATTGACATAATAATAATAATAAAGAGTTATATATAGAACAAGAACCAAATCTTTTTTTAAAAAGAAAGACTATATATATATAAGAAAAATGAAAAGAAACCAAAAATCTTTGTTTTGATTTTAACAGAATTACACAGAAATTATTTTCTTATATTAATATATTAATATTAATATAATAAATTTAATGTAACACATATATGTGATAATTGCGAATGTCGATCAAAAACGAATTTCCACCATGCTCATCGGTTCAGTTTCGAACTGCCAGTTGAACCGGTTTGGGTTGAACCGTTCCCATCCCTACTGACTGTTAATATTAATATTTAATAATTGCGCATCATTACTCTATTAGCCCAAAAATAGTAAAGATCATCATTATCATAATATTGAGAAAAATTTATTATAAGTGACATATATGAATTTTTAAAAAATATCCAGTAAACTGAATTTATATGAGGCTCACTGTGTATATGTGCTTTTCACATGACACATGTATATTTTAAGCCTTGTATCCCTTACAAACAGGGATTATAATATTAAAAAGGGGTTATATCTTTCCAGAATTTACTACAGTCAGGGATTTTACCAAATTTGGAAATTGATTTCAGCCTCATTCATTGATCAATTCATACATATATGTAGCAAATGAATTAACGTGATACTTCCACTACATATTGATAAAAAAAAATTATTAAAACCCTATTAATAATAATTGAAATATACTATTCAACTTGCTCTTTCATAATCTGTTAATAATCTGTTATGATCTGTTAAGCTGTTCAAAATATGTTTTTACTAAAAATCAAGGAATTTTACATGTCAGAAGTAGTGATCACAATCATCATATTCATGAATATTCATTAAGGGGTTACACTTATCAAAAATCCAAAAATCCCTTAAAATTATGTGTCAATCACTTGATTTTGATAAGTGTAACCCCCTTAATGAATATTCATGAATATGATGATCGTGATCACTACTTTAGACAAGCCAACTATATATAGAAATTTTTTTTGGTAATGAT